CTATCAAAATAAAGCTAAATATTTCAAAAGCATGAAGTTTAGAAAATCTATGAATAGAAGCATGAATGTCCTTGAACAGCTGAACATTTTGATACCTGAAATAGCTGAAAGTATGCTGAGTGTAGAATTTCCCCATTCATTGGAATGGGGCAAAACTATCAAAATAAAGCTAAATATTTCAAAAGCATGAAGTTTAGAAAATCTATGAATAGAAGCATGAATGTCCTTGAACAGCTGAACATTTTGATACCTGAAATAGCTGAAAGTATGCTGAGTGTAGAATTTCCCCATTCATTGGAATGGGGCAAAACTATCAAAATAAAGCTAAATATTTCAAAAGCATGAAGTTTAGAAAATCTATGAATAGAAGCATGAATGTCCTTGAACAGCTGAACATTTTGATACCTGAAATAGCTGAAAGTATGCTGAGTGTAGAATTTCCCCATTCATTGGAATGGGGCAAAACTATCAAAATAAAGCTAAATATTTCAAAAGCATGAAGTTTAGAAAATCTATGAATAGAAGCATGAATGTCCTTGAACAGCTGAACATTTTGATACCTGAAATAGCTGAAAGTATGCTGAGTGTAGAATTTCCCCATTCATTGGAATGGGGCAAAACTATCAAAATAAAGCTAAATATTTCAAAAGCATGAAGTTTAGAAAATCTATGAATAGAAGCATGAATGTCCTTGAACAGCTGAACATTTTGATACCTGAAATAGCTGAAAGTATGCTGAGTGTAGAATTTCCCCATTCATTGGAATGGGGCAAAACTATCAAAATAAAGCTAAATATTTCAAAAGCATGAAGTTTAGAAAATCTATGAATAGAAGCATGAATGTCCTTGAACAGCTGAACATTTTGATACCTGAAATAGCTGAAAGTATGCTGAGTGTAGAATTTCCCCATTCATTGGAATGGGGCAAAACTATCAAAATAAAGCTAAATATTTCAAAAGCATGAAGTTTAGAAAATCTATGAATAGAAGCATGAATGTCCTTGAACAGCTGAACATTTTGATACCTGAAATAGCTGAAAGTATGCTGAGTGTAGAATTTCCCCATTCATTGGAATGGGGCAAAACTATCAAAATAAAGCTAAATATTTCAAAAGCATGAAGTTTAGAAAATCTATGAATAGAAGCATGAATGTCCTTGAACAGCTGAACATTTTGATACCTGAAATAGCTGAAAGTATGCTGAGTGTAGAATTTCCCCATTCATTGGAATGGGGCAAAACTATCAAAATAAAGCTAAATATTTCAAAAGCATGAAGTTTAGAAAATCTATGAATAGAAGCATGAATGTCCTTGAACAGCTGAACATTTTGATACCTGAAATAGCTGAAAGTATGCTGAGTGTAGAATTTCCCCATTCATTGGAATGGGGCAAAACTATCAAAATAAAGCTAAATATTTCAAAAGCATGAAGTTTAGAAAATCTATGAATAGAAGCATGAATGTCCTTGAACAGCTGAACATTTTGATACCTGAAATAGCTGAAAGTATGCTGAGTGTAGAATTTCCCCATTCATTGGAATGGGGCAAAACTATCAAAATAAAGCTAAATATTTCAAAAGCATGAAGTTTAGAAAATCTATGAATAGAAGCATGAATGTCCTTGAACAGCTGAACATTTTGATACCTGAAATAGCTGAAAGTATGCTGAGTGTAGAATTTCCCCATTCATTGGAATGGGGCAAAACTATCAAAATAAAGCTAAATATTTCAAAAGCATGAAGTTTAGAAAATCTATGAATAGAAGCATGAATGTCCTTGAACAGCTGAACATTTTGATACCTGAAATAGCTGAAAGTATGCTGAGTGTAGAATTTCCCCATTCATTGGAATGGGGCAAAACTATCAAAATAAAGCTAAATATTTCAAAAGCATGAAGTTTAGAAAATCTATGAATAGAAGCATGAATGTCCTTGAACAGCTGAACATTTTGATACCTGAAATAGCTGAAAGTATGCTGAGTGTAGAATTTCCCCATTCATTGGAATGGGGCAAAACTATCAAAATAAAGCTAAATATTTCAAAAGCATGAAGTTTAGAAAATCTATGAATAGAAGCATGAATGTCCTTGAACAGCTGAACATTTTGATACCTGAAATAGCTGAAAGTATGCTGAGTGTAGAATTTCCCCATTCATTGGAATGGGGCAAAACTATCAAAATAAAGCTAAATATTTCAAAAGCATGAAGTTTTGAAAATCTATGAATAGAAGCATGAATGTCCTTGAAGAGCTGAACATTTTGATACCTGAAACAACTTCAAGTATGCTGAAGTTGAATTTTCACATTTTTAAAGGTGAATGCAAAGATCACACATGAATTATGCATACAGACAAATCCGCATACGCAGAAGTAGACAAGCTGCAATTACTGTGGTGGCACCTCAGTTGTAAACCAGTGAATAACACTGTAGTGAAATTCATGAAATACCTGAAATCCGGACTATTGACCGGTGCGACTATAAGCTGCACCCACTAAATTTAAGAAGAAAAAAAATTTTGTACATATATAGGCCGCACTTGTCTATAAGCCGCAGGTGTCCACGTTGTAACATGAGATATTTACACAAAGATGTTACACAGCTTTTGTCGTCTTTTTGGATCTTCACGCTGCCTTCTCCAAAGTCTCACCATCCATTCATTGATGCCAAGCTTATGTGCAGCAGCTTCCTTCTTCAACAGATTGATTGCCTTTAACTTGAAAGCTGCATCATATGCATTTCTTTGTGTTTTCCATGATGAGGGTGTGTGCATGAAGCACAAAATGACTGATCTGAAGAATTTAGTGTGAGTGCATTTGCTGAATACATCCGCACATGTCCTGAAAAAGCTGAACAATTTGATACCTGAATGGTTTTTCTAGCTGAAAGTATGCGGAACTAGTTAAAGGCCAAAAAACGTACGGAATAATAATAATAATAACTAGAAAATTGCATTTTCTGAAGAAAATGCGTATGGATGCTGAGTGCTGAAAGATCGCCCTGAAAATGCTGAATATTTTGACACCTGAATGGTTTTGGTAGCTGAAAGTATGCTAAAGTAGAAGTTTCCCATTCATTTGAATGGGCAAGATTTTCAAAATAAAGCTGAATATTGAAAATATATGAAGTGTAGAAAACTTCTGAATAGTAGTCTGAATGCCCTTGAAGGGCTGAACATTTTGATAGCTGAAAGAATGCTGAAGTTGAATTTTCACATTCATTTGAATGGGGCAAGATTTTCAAAATAAAGCTGAATATTGAAAATATATGAAGTGTAGAAAACTTCTGAATAGTAGTCTGAATGCCCTTGAAGGGCTGAACATTTTGATAGCTGAAAGAATGCTGAAGTTGAATTTTCACATTCATTTGAATGGGGCAAGATTTTCAAAATAAAGCTGAATATTGAAAATATATGAAGTGTAGAAAACTTCTGAATAGTAGTCTGAATGCCCTTGAAGGGCTGAACATTTTGATAGCTGAAAGAATGCTGAAGTTGAATTTTCACATTCATTTGAATGGGGCAAGATTTTCAAAATAAAGCTGAATATTGAAAATATATGAAGTGTAGAAAACTTCTGAATAGTAGTCTGAATGCCCTTGAAGGGCTGAACATTTTGATAGCTGAAAGAATGCTGAAGTTGAATTTTCACATTCATTTGAATGGGGCAAGATTTTCAAAATAAAGCTGAATATTGAAAATATATGAAGTGTAGAAAACTTCTGAATAGTAGTCTGAATGCCCTTGAAGGGCTGAACATTTTGATAGCTGAAAGAATGCTGAAGTTGAATTTTCACATTCATTTGAATGGGGCAAGATTTTCAAAATAAAGCTGAATATTGAAAATATATGAAGTGTAGAAAACTTCTGAATAGTAGTCTGAATGCCCTTGAAGGGCTGAACATTTTGATAGCTGAAAGAATGCTGAAGTTGAATTTTCACATTCATTTGAATGGGGCAAGATTTTCAAAATAAAGCTGAATATTGAAAATATATGAAGTTTTGAAAAATTCTGAAGAGAAGCATGAATGTCCTTGAAGAGCTGAACATTTGAATGCTAAATCAGCATCCATACAATAATAATAAAGAAGAAGATAACAAGAGTGTGGATGCGAGCATCCACGCTAACTAGAGAAATGCATTTCCTGTCGTAAATGTGTGTGGATGCTGTGTGATGAAGGATCGCCCTGAAAATGCTGAACATTTTGACACCTGAAAGGCATATCTACCTGAAAGTATGCTTAAGTCGAATTTCCCCATTCATTTGAAAGGACCAAACTTTTCAGAATAAAGCTAAATATTTTTAAAGTGTGATGTTTTGAAAAATTGTGAATAGAAGCATGAATGTCCTTAAGGAGCTGAACATTTTCCTACATAAAATAGCTGAAAATTGGCTGAAGTAGAATTTTCCACTATTAAAAACTGGAAACATGGAGGTGACCCCAAACCTTTGAATAGTAGTGTATATTATGATGCCCTGGTGATTTGATTTTAATCAACCAACCTAATCTTTTCTTGCAAACTTCCCCAGTCTTCTTTAACCAAGAGTATAGACAGACAGCAGTAGATATCCTCCAAAAATATCATCATTGCCCTGTATCTTTCCCTCTTCAGTTGGTGATGCATGATTAACTCAGAGGCCAGCCACTGCCACTGCAGTGTCCTACATAAACTCAATGCTATCTTCAGCCACATTGGGAGAATGCGACTCATGCAAATATGGACAATGTGGTGTGTTTCTACATACTGTGGAAAAACAAAGGCACCTAGATGGTATTTTACCATGAACAGAAGTAATTATTTCATAAGCACATGGTGATTGATTATTTAATATGACCCTAAATCTGAGGTCAACATCAAATGAACTTGTACCTTTAGTTAGAATTTGTGGAATCACAAAATCTGCACATACTGGTTCTCTAACAGCAGAGCATTATTTCTGGTGGTGGACTGCATCCAACTTACTCGCAGACTTCACATGGAGAAAACACTAAAGCCTGCTTACACTCCATAAGTCCCAGTAGGATCAAAGAGGCCAGTCCCATCATCGTCATGGAGAGGAGGAGGATACCACGGCGACCACACTTGTCCACGGTCACCCAGAGCAACAGCCAGGCACCACCCCCTGCACACACAGACAGCAAGTACATCCAATAGAAACTGGGGGAGGTGCCTCTCACGTCACCTCGGAAAGAGCTGTAACAGTGATTAATGCCATGTGAGATGAATCTGAGGGAAGATGAAAAGAAAGAGAGTCAGCAGTCATGTAATTCCAGAGAATTTGACAAAAATTCAGGAAATGCCAAATGTCAAAACAGGCTTTAGCACCAATACAGCCTGAAAAATGAAGTTGCTATGGAAATATAAAGTCTAACTGGAACCTGCAACATTGTTAAATGAATGACAGTATGGAATGACTTACGAGGTGAAGCCAAGCACACACAGGTTCTTCCAGATGTTCCTGCTGCGGAAGAGCTCAGGGAATGACAGCGAGGGGCGTGAAGAGGGGCGTGGCTCTGAATCCAGCTCTGCAGAAAACAAAGAAACATGTTTTCTCAACCTAATTCATGAGGTCAGTAGCAAAGAAAAGTGATCTAGCCTGGTTTCTCTCTCCAGTAACTCACGATCTGTATCTCTACTGTGTGTACAACAAAACAAAGTCTATATATTCATACAGCTCATACCATACCGTCGCTGTGGGCAGGCTTCAAGGGGCATTGCCCACCCAAATAGATTGCTGGGCCCATCCACTGATCTTCCAGACATTTCTTAAATAAATTCTATAATAAAGCATATTATATTTCCGGCGCCGACAGCAATGACGGCCACGGTCATTCGCGCTCTCTTGTGTTTGTTGTTTTTCTCTGTTTACTTGGTATTTTGCAACCCATCCCAGATTACTTTTACCAGAGAAGAACTGTTAAATATCGGACAACTCACACCGAACTACCTTCCTCCGGTTTTTGTGAACAAAGAATGCTGTATGGACATTCTGATCAGAGGCGTAGTGGCAATATACAGGACCTGAAAAAAAAACGCCGCAGTGGAAACTGGGTGGCAGCTTGGTGCGGTTACGACAGAGGGGAACACGGACCTCATTCCCGTCTATTCACCTGGCAAATCTCCGAAATGAAAGTTGGTGCACAGATGTCACAGTGCTACAGAGGACATGTAATGCAGACCTAGAGACTGTTATCATCAATCGCAAACCTTTTTACTCTCCCCGTGAATTTAACAGTTTCATTCTAATCGGACTGTACATAAAACCACAGGCCCACACTAGTGCACTACAGCTCCTGGCAGAACAGATAACTAGCCTGGAGCTGGAACATTCCGACTCTCCACTCATTGTTCTAGGGGATTTTAACAGGTGTAATCTCACCCACAAACTACCCAAATACATTACAAATACATATTTTTCTTCTCTTCTATTTGAGACTGCAGCTACAGACCTGGACGAACTCACTGACACTGTCACATCTTATATCAGCTTTTGTGAGGATGTGTGTGTGCTCAAAACGTCCTTCTATATATACAACAACAACAAGCCCTGGTTCACAGCAAGAGTCAAGCAACTTTGTTATGCCAAAGAGGAGGCCTACAGAAGTGGAGACACGACTCTGTACAGCCAGGCCAGGAACACGCTGACAAAAGAGATCAGAACAGCAAAGAGGAGTTACTCTGAAAAGCTGAAAGCTCAGGTTTCAGCCAAAGACTCCTCGTTGGTGTGGAGAAGCCTGAAAAGCATCACTGGCAATAGGAAACCATCCCCCACTTGCTGTGGAGGACGGCCAACTAGCAGACAACCTGAATGTGTTCTTCTGCAGGTTTGACAAATAACACTCCCCCCTCATCCTCCCCACCTCAGATCCAGCAGCTGCTCCCCAGACAATCACCATCCTTCCCTCCAGCCTCCCATCTTGAAAAATCTGTGAAAAGGATGTGCATGGCCTTTTTAAAAAACAAAGAATCAGAAAGGCACCAGGCCCAGATGGCATGACCCCCTCCTGCCTGAAAGTGTGCACTGATCAGCTGGCCCCCACCTTCACACATATCTTCAACAGGTCACTGGAGCGGTGTCAAGTCCCCTTCTGCTTCAAACGCTCCACCATCATTCCACTCCCCAAGAAAACCTCAATGAGTGGAATGAATGACTATAGACCTGTCGCCCTGACATCTGTAGTTATGAAGTGCTTTGAAAGACTGGTGTTGGCCCATCTGAAGGACATCGTAGACCCCTTGCTAGACCCCCTGCAGTTTGCCTACTGGGCAAACAGGTCAGTGGACGATGCAGTTAGCATGACACTACATTGCATCCTGCAACACCTCGACTCCCCAGGGACCTATGCATGGGCCCTCTTTGTGGACTTCAGCTTGGCATTCAACACAATCATCCTGGACATCCTCCACTCCAAATTGACCCAGCTCACTGTGCCTGCCCCCACCTGTCAGTGGATTACTAGCTTTCTGACAGACAGGAAGCAGCAGGCGAGGCTGGCAAAAACTGCATCCAGCACCCAGACAATAAGCACAGGCACCCCCCAGGGATGTGTGCTCTCCCCTCTGCTGTTTTCACTCTACACCAATGACTGCATATTGAAGGACCACTCTGTCAAGCTCCTAAAGTTTGCTGATGGTCATTTGTCTCATCCGAGATGGGGACGATTCAGCCTAAGATGGAACACGCTCAAAATAGTGGAGATGACAGTGGACTTTAGGAAATGCCACCCACATTACCCCCACTCACCATACTTGGCAGCACTGTATTAGCAGTAAAGTCCTACAAGTTCCTGGGCTCCAATGTCTCCCAGGACCTTAAGTGGGCGTACAACATCAGGACCATCATCAAGAAGGCACAGCAGAGGATGTACTTCCTGCATCAGCTCAAGAAGTTTGACCCAGGAGCTGCTGATACAGTTCTACAGAGGAATCATTGAGTCTGTTCTCTGCGCCTCCGTCACTGTCTGGTTTGGCTCAGCAACCAAATAGGACAAGTACAGACTTCAGCAGACAGTCAGGATTACAGAAAAGGTCATTGGTGCAAGCCTGCCCTCCATGGAGGACCTGTACACCTCACGGGTCAAAGAGAGGGTGGAGAGGGTCACTGTAAAACCCTCACACCTAGGACACAATCTGTTTGAACTCCTCCCCTCTGGACTGCATTACAGGTCACTGTGCGCCAAGACAACCAGGCATAGGGATAGTTGCTTTCCCCAGGCCATCACTCTGATGAACATTTAACCAACGACAGTATGACTGGACAATAACCCTCAGTGCAATACCTGTAATTGTTTACTGCCTTTCTATACTGCTTATCTTGCATTGTATGCACTGTTTGTTGCTTGTTAATACTGCTTATTATTTTTGTTATTACACAGCCTTATACTGGCTTACTGTTTACTTGCCCCTTGCATGGGGATATGTACATACACATTGAGAGCTGATGTACCAGAGTCAAATTCCTTGTGTGTCCGACACACCTGGCCAAAAGATTCTGAAAAGTGAAGCAAAAACATCTGTTGTCTCTTAAAAGAATTAATTCAAGAGAGGTCAGTCTGATGATCGCATTAGGCAGATGCAGGAGTGTGTACATGAAGATGGCTAATTGTATCACAGATAAAAGAGTGAGTTTTGCTCAGTAGATATAAGAAAATGGTTCAAATCACATTCTGGTACCAAAGAAAGGAGTGGATTTGTTCTTGTATTTACGCCTGAAAACCTTAGAAACCTGCTGTCTAACCATATAGTTACTCTAGATGACATACTGTAGCTCTGGTCTCCAGTCCTGCTGTGAGGAACCTTGGAGTCATGTCCTGTTCGGGTATTTTATACCATATTTCATCTAAAGAAAAAAGATACGAGTAATTATTTTTTCAAACTCAGACTCAATGGCCTTGGCTCATTTTGTGTGAAGAATATAAATCAGAACAAATTTTTAATGACCGGACACTGCACCCCCCCGCCCACGCATTTACATTACACACAGGGTGTTTGGGTATTATTTACTCGGGGACAGTGAAGTGGTGGTTGCAATCATTTGCTCTTACATTCCACTGTCTCCACAGCTTAGCATTTGTACTGTGACCACAACAGTCTTGAATAGTTCAACAATTTACATCTGTTGATTAGTTTAGCATAAAAGTATTTGATTATACGACCCTCATGCTTTGAGAGAGTGACAGTCAGAAGCATCCAGGTGTGAAGAAATTGCTCCATTTCAAGCACTCTCCTTGAAAGCCAACACCTTGCCAGCCAGCATTGTCCTTCACATTTCACAACCTATAGTGACTTTGAAGAAGAGGCTGACATTGATTATCATCCAGCTACACCTTCTGTGCAACAACCACCTGTAGAGCCTGAGGTAAGTGTGTGATGTTGTTGCAGTATACTGAATGTGAGACACTCCTGCTTTGGGAGAGAAGAGAAACTAGGTGCTAAGTATAAAATAACTTATCTTTTCATTATTCTAGCTTGCGGCCAGCACCAGGCAACAGAAGCGCTGTGGAGTGTGTCATCCAGGTGTGAAGAAATTGCTCCATTTCAAGCACTCTCCTTGAAAGCCAACACCTTGCCAGCCAGCATTGTCCTTCACATTTCACAACCTATAGTGACTTTGAAGAAGAGGCTGACATTGATTATCATCCAGCTACACCTTCTGTGCAACAACCACCTGTAGAGCCTGAGGTAAGTGTGTGATGTTGTTGCAGTATACTGAATGTGAGACACTCCTGCTTTGGGAGAGAAGAGAAACTAGGTGCTAAGTATAAAATAACTTATCTTTTCATTATTCTAGCTTGCGGCCAGCACCAGGCAACAGAAGCGCTGTGGAGTGTGTGGACCCAAGAAGGACAGAAAAACACAATATACACTGCATCAAGTGCAAGACATACATATGCAACACACACTCAAGAAGACTCTGCCCCTCATGTGATGTATAGGTTTGTGTGTGCCAAAGAAAGGCAAGAATATTGTTCTGATGAGTACACTGCACAGGGATGGGAAAATCTGTGGCCAAAAACCACAGATCATGTAATGTATAGGTTTGTCTATGTTCGATGGGGCTGTGTTGTGTAGACCATAATGGTTACTGTGTGTTCAGCTTGTGCTGTGCACAATGTTTGAAATTACTGAGGTTCAAATAAAAATCAGCAGTTGGGAAAAATCTTGCTTCATTTGTAAATTTGTTTTTTTTTTTTCAATCATTGCATTCCAATTATTAGAGTTGATTATTACATTGTTTTAGATTAAAATTCTTTGATTATGTTGAGTTACTGTGGTGGTTAGAAATAAACCAGATTCCAGAAGTGATATGTAATAGACCAGTATGTAGTTCATATTTAGATAATACTTGTGTTAGTTATGTAAGGGTGAGCTCAGTGTGTACGGAAGCTTGATCTGTCTTTGGCGCAGGCAAAAATATCTGTGTCCCCCTTGATTAACTTATGGGTCAACATCCTGAGTGACTTCCTCCTGATAGGGAATGGATATACAGACACTGCAGCTGCAGCTTATGTGAACTATTCAAGTG